ATTTTGGGATGGGAGTGGAAGTTAAGGGTTATTGGAAACTTTAGGAGAAAGCAGGAACCATTAATGTCATGGGACAAAGGCAATGTAATGTCACATGCAAGGCAGATAGGATGCTGGGATGTTGGAAGTTCTACCTGTGGAACTCATGATATAAGATGCCTGGTTTTTTATGGGCCATTGGTCAGGCTTCCATTACAGTCATATACCCACTTTGAGCATTGTATTCCAAGAAAGGGAACCATACGAAAAATCCAGAGTAAAGTAAAAAGCAAATATGATCTAAGCAAATATGACATATAATGAAAGATTGGAAGGCCATTTTAGCATGCAGAATATCAAGCATGGTGAAGCATTAAAATAGATTTTCGAAGAAACTTGTGAGGCTCCAGTTAAGAACAGATTAGACAGAAATCTGTCAGGAATGATAAAGACCTTGCCTTTGGCACAGAGGAGAGAAAAAACCTAAGACCCAAGTCTGGAGCTAGCTTGAGTTAGCAAAGGGAATTGCTTGAACTCCATGAGATGTTTCTCAGAAACCCACACCAAGAAGTAAACTTCAAATGTAAGAAAAGTTGGAAATCTTTTTGGTTTTTTCAGGATTCTATTCTAGAAAAAGAAACCCTTGACAAGCACTGGAAAATGCAGAAGACCTGTATCTTTCCACCGGAAGCTTGTTTTAAGGAAAATACAACTTTTTTTGCAACACATTCTTCTCTAGCTCTTGCGGGTGGTGTGTGGGATGTGTGTGATTGGTTTTCTAGTTTTGTGCCACTGTTGGCATAGATTTTGCTCCAGAACTGATGATGAGAATTGACTGTGCTCTTTGCTAATGAGGAACAGGCCCTACCTTACTAGTGTCTGTAAGTGTAGTTCTGGGCAGTCATCTCCATTCATTTTATTCTGTCAAAACAAGATAATGGGAAGGAAGAAGAGCTTTCTAAGGTAATTGGGAAGTGAGAATCTATTTTTAGATGCCCCTCCAGTTTCTTCAGAGAATCTTAATTTATGTCTGAACAATTAAGACAAAGCTACATAGAAAATAACAAGCCTTTCTTTCTTACTTTGATCAAGAAAGCTAATTGGTGTCCTAAATATAGGAAATGTTACATGAGTATACAATAGTTACACAAAATACGTCAGATTTTCACTACCGTTAATCACAAACTTTGATTTTTTTCTATTTAATACGAGCAGCTGAAGCAGTAACAGGTTTTCTTTTAAGGATACTTCTTTAAACATTTGTGTCCAATGAAGACTTTCTTATGCATGAGATGTGAAAGTCATTTTGAGACATGAGACTTGAAAATAAGTTGTAAGCTACGTTTTTAAACCTTTTTTCATACGTAGCTGAACTAGTCTTGTCTATAAAGTTATTACTTCAGAGTTTGAGTTCTGAGCGTGTATCCATCTGTATATCCAAATGGATGAGGTATTTATTTTTATTACTTACTTTGAAATTGGAATGTCAGAACAGAAGTTCAAGTCTCAGTATGCTTTATATAAAAATCTACAAACATAACAAATGAGAAAAGACTGAAGGGGCCTAGCAGTCTTGAAAGCCAGAGATGGCTGGTGCAGGCACAGCGGAACGAGGATGCCCTTGTTCTGGGCATCCATGGCACCTTTGGTCCTTAGTAATGCTCCCTGCTCACCAAGGTATACTTTCCACTCCTAGAAGGTACAGTGTGAATGGAAGTAAATTGCGTGGAATGCAATTGGAATGCAAATGGAAGTAAAAGTGGCACAACTGGCTGTGACCCGTTTTGTGTCTTCTCTACTTGAAATAATGGCAGTATTTTCAGGTGTCTAGAATAGAAGGATTTCTGTAAAGGCAGATGCAGAACACCTTTTATTTGGTGAAAGTAGCTGTAGTATCAGTTACAGTTGATAGGTACTTCATGTTAAGTCTGTCTTTTTTTAAACTACACTAAATAGTGTAATTAAAATATTTAACTGAGAAAAAACTTTAGATTTTATAGTGTGTGTGTGTGTGGTGGATGTGGTAGTTCCTGAAATTCACTGCATAAAAATAAAACCAGTTACATCCATTCAAGACTAATAAGGACTGAAAGACTCAGCATTCAGTGATGCCTGAATGCTGGAATAGTCAACCTGTTGCATTACGTAGATTTATTTCTAGCAGATATCACTGTGAATGAAGTAATGTGTACATTGAATAGATTAATTTCAAGACAGTATAAACAAGTAGGCATCACAAAGAACAGGAACTTATAACAGTAAAATAGCATAGCTACATGTAAAGAAAAATATTTGTGTTCTTTCACTGAGGATTTTGGGGGTGTGATTCCAACTTGATCAAGACGCTTTGTACTATTGAGTTTACTATGTTAGCTGGGCTCTTGTAATGCAACTGAGGACATGTTTCAGTAACCAGGTGTTCTTTATCAGATTAAATCTTACTAGTTAATCCCCAGCTTTGTTGGTAATTTAAAGAAACATTCTTTGGCCTGAAAGAAGCATTCAGCTTGGACTATGAAGTACTTAAATTTAACTGGAAGAGAATCTGAAATTCTGGGAAGAAAATAAAAGTTTAGTTACTAAGGAATAGCATTGGAAAAAAGATAATTATATGTTGTTAGGGTTTTGTGATTTGTCAGAATTTGGATCTAAAAGCACGAGGGCTTTTTTTTAAGATTTAAGTCTGCAAAGTTCAGCTTGAGGGACTTCAAGCTGATGCGGCAGTTGGAATGAGACAATATGCTCTAATTAAAATCTCTGTCACTTGGGATGTTTCTCACTTGTGTTCTTATGTAGAACACTGCACTGTGCAAGCTCAGTGGTGATTATCAAACTAAAAGAAAAAAAAAGTTTCTAGGAAAAATCTTCTAGAATTAGAAACAATAAGGGAAGAATGCTATGTTTGAATGGCTTGTGTCATAGCAGGAGAGCTGTAAATGTAAACAACAAAGATGACCAAAGGGCTGGAGCACCTCTCCATGAAAACAGTCTGAGAGAGTTGGGATTGTTCAGCGTGGAGAAGGCTTAGGGGAGACCTTAGAGCAGCTTCCAGTATCTAAAGAGGGCCTACAAGAAATCTGGAGAGAGACTTTTTAGAGGGGCATGTAGCTATGGGACATGGGTTAGTGGCTTTAAACCGAAAGAGGATAGATGTAGATTTCAGAAATTAGGAAATGTTAGAGATGTTAGAGATATTAGAGATATTAGGGAGTATTAGAAATTAGGAAATTAGATATTAGGAAATATTAGAAATTAGAAATGCTAGAATAGAAATATTAGAAATATCAGAGATGCTAGGAAAAATTCTTCCCTGTGAGGGTGCTGAGGCGCTGGCACAGCTTGCCCAGAGAACCTGTGGTTGCCTCATCCCTGGCAGTGTTCAAGGCCAGCTCAGACAGGGCTTGGAGCAACCTCGTCTAGTGGAAGGGGTCCCTGCCCATGGCAGAGTGGTTGGAACTAAATGTGAAAGGTCCCTTCCAGCTCAACCTGTTCTGTGATTCTGTGATCTAGGAATATAATACTTGGGTGTCACGAAGGTACCTCAAGCATTTTACCAGCGTCTGTTCTCTGTTCATCGGTGTACACTGCTGGAGTACCTCAATACTGGTTCCCAAGTACTGGGAAATACATAGATTTCTGAAACCTGAGACTGGGAATAGATTTGAAAACTGTTTCCTAAGTATTTGGACTATCAGGTCAGACTCTTCCAGCAGACTGTCTGCATTTACTTTCAGTATTCTAAAAGGAAGAAACTATTGTGTGTTGATTGAAAATGGAGCAGTTTGCCTGTAAGAAATTGGATGCCTGTGTTTCATAACTTGCCTCTGACGTTTCGTGTGCCGTAACAATTTCACTCAAATCCAAGATGGCACATTTTTCCCCACTTACCTCTCTACTAGTTCTTAAGGGAGATTAAGCAGTTTTGTGTATTGGTTTGAGCATGTGTCTCTGTCTTTGCCACAGCAATTAGGAGCCTGCTTAACACTTCACATCAGCTGAAATACCGAACTTCCACGGATTCTGTGGGGTCCTTATTTGGCTTCCATTATGTACCATGGTGAAATGATAGATCAGAGATAGCATTCATGACCAAAACCTAACTGTGTATTTAAAAAGTTACTCTTTCCAAATTTACAATGTGTAACAATTTTATACTTTTCTGAGTGTTTATTGATTTTTATGAGCATATTTGGTTTCCCTTACTAAATCATTGAAGTCTCTTATTATAAATATGCTTTGAGGTCAAGATTATTTATGAGAACTTAGAACCATAGAAGCTCTGACTCTAGATCTGTGCTACCTTCAACAGCGTTCTTTCACAGGGACAAAAGAGTGACTTTACAGCACCATGGTGACTACAGAATGTTTTCTTGCTTCTGACAGTCATGTCAGGTTGAAATGAGAGGAAACAGATAATATTTTCAGTTGCACATTCTGTAATACACAGACCTTTTTATTACTATAGTATTAATTCACTATGTAAATTGTTAACATTTTCTTGCAAAATGTCATATTAAAACTGATGCACTGCTAAAGATGCCTAATGTATAAAATTCCTAATCTGTTACAAGTGTTTAAATACAGGTCACTAGTTCTGTATGTGCTGTTTTGCTATGCAGAGCGCCAGCAGAGGGAGCACACGGGGGCTACCAGCTCAGTACCTAGACCTTACAGAGGGTGCCGTTACTGGAAGTAATGAAGGATGACACAAACTTCAAAGTGGCATTTTTATTTTTCAGATTAATTGAATTCTGTTAAGTGGGCATGGTCAAATCTGTAGGTCAAGGACTTTATTTTCCAAAAGCTTAAGAAAGCGATGTTAATAAGAAAGTCCACATATAAAACCCTATTTAAATATATAGAAGGGTATTCTAATACCTCTAAGATGCAACAGTTTAAAATTCTGATTCTTAGACTTAAAAGATGTACATGTCCTCGTACCTTCTATGATGCTCGTACAGCAGCAAAGGTGAGTACAAGCATGGGATTCGGTAAAGTCATTTTCAAATGTTTAATTTTAGGGCAGCAGCAATGACTCTAAGAACAGTGTTGTTATCGCTGCAAGCATTGTTGGCAGCTGCAGAACCAGATGATCCACAAGATGCAGTAGTGGCAAACCAGGTAAGATACTCAGTTGATTGTGAATTTGTAACACTTCTGTAACCTTTGCTAACTCAGATTAGGTCCAAAACCTTGGGGGAGAGAAAGATTTTTAAAAAACTTATTGAAAACTTGCCTTAAAGTAAGTGTGAGTTATTAGGGCATGTTTTTACTCTTTGGATTCCAGTGTAAGTAGCAGTTACTTTCCAGTCTTGGGAGAGTTATTTTGTTCATTTTCTTTATTTAGCTTGTCAGAAATGTCAGAAGATAACAGCATACCAGAATTCCAGTATAACTTGGCTTTTAAAATCTAAGGCTTCTAGTATAAGAAAAACAATGTTGTATTGGTTTAGAGTTCTAACTTGGCAGGATTCATTGGATTTGGCTTCATATGTAGCTCCTTTTCTCCATGAATATGAATATAGTTCAGCATTTTGTTTATTTTATGACAAAATTTTTTGAATAGTGACTTCAGGTGAATTACTGTTACGTTTAATCCTGAGGAACAATTTATCTGAATGAAGCATTCTATGTATTTTTGCCTTTGTAAGTACTTGGAATAACTGGATTAGTCACTGGTTGAATTTGCTTTAGTAGAATTCTGTAATCGACAGAGTTTGTTACTTTTCAGACAGTAGCAGTAACTTACAAATACCAATAAGCTGTCAGTTGGATCTGATACTATACCAAGACTGATGTCATTCTGTTTAAAGTGTTGTCGAAAGTTGGCAATAGTCATTCCATAACTTAATAGTCTGACAATTTTCAACAAAGTCCAAAGAATGCGTGTGGTGTTTTCCTTTTTACTCTGCGGAGAGAGAGAGAAGGCCTGGCTTCCCCACAGGCTGGTACGAGGGTGTAACGGAAGAACAAAGCAATTGCAAGGTTCTTCCAGCATCAGTCTCATCTGTGTCTGCTGTAAGTCAGGACCTTCCAAGATGGGATGGTGAAGCGTGCACTCCTTCCCTCTAAAATCCGTGTAGGGTGGTAAATTAGCAACTTATCAAACCTGACAGGATTTGGAGGGAAACTTGGAGATCACAGGTAGCCCCTTGTACCACTGGATGGGGAGAGCTGTTTGCTGCTACTACACTCAGTAGTACAGAAGATGCGCTTGTGGGATTCCTCATTGCTTCTCAGGCTGCTCTGAACAAATGTCCCTGAACAGTTCTGTCAGACTGAATTCCTCTGCACAGGGAGGATTGTTGCAGAGGCCAGCGAGGCCACCAGGCATGTCCCTGCACTGTTCTTTCTTGCTGGATGTGTGCCTGTGCTGTCAGCCTCTCTTTATTAAACAAACACACTTTTTCCTTTTTTCAAAGAACAAGAATAGTGTTTTCCATTCTGACCCCAATGGTGGCATTTCGTGTGGGGATCCTAACAGACTTGTAGAAGCTTTTGGGCTGGAAAGAGTATGTTCTTAGGCAGAAAACTTCATGAAACTTCTTAGATTCAGAAGAGCAGTTTTCCAGGCTGCGTCCTCAGGTGCTTGTGGGGATGTGTCCAGTGGGACTGTGGCATGGCTGATGTGGGGAGGATTCAGTTTCTCCTTGTTCCCTGCAGTTACCTGCGTGGAAACTATACTTATGCTTGGCCTTGAGTTACAAGCATGTCTGTGTAAATAAAAAGTGATTATAACATCTTTGAGAGATGTGGTGGTAAATACCCAGTTCCTTCCTGTGTTTTATTTGGTGCTGGGGTCTTTTTTAGTTTGGTCAGGGTTTTTGTTGGTTGGGGTTTGTTTGGTTTTTTTTTTTTTTTCTCCAAAACCAAAAATTCACAAGATTGTTCTTGTTATCGTCCACACTCATTTTTCATTATGTTTATTTACTAAACTGTGTGTTAGACTGCTAAGCTGCCCAGGTAAATGGCAGTGTTCTACAAGGTCTTGAGCTGAATCCCAGGGAGAACTCCTGTTGGAATACCGGCAATATTTTCAGACACCAGCTGTCTGTTGTCAGAACTACTTCAACTAGTTTCTGGGGTTTTTTTCAGTACAGCAGCATTAATTGCCTCAGATTCCTGATATAGAGACATCAGTAAGAGGTGCCTTTAGGCTTTTCTCAATTCAGTGAGAAGCTAGAGTATTTATGGATACCTAAGTAAAGGAATTTTATTTATAGGACACTGGAAGCTGGTTCTGAATAAAATGCAGTTATGCAGTTATGACTAATCCTTTGCACTTCAGTTAGTTGCTTTCTAGGCTTGGCAGTGTTCTCAGATACGTATAAAAAAAGTAATTGGGGGAAGATCTCTTAAGAGCAGAACATAGTACTTCAGGATGCTACTAATGCATAACTTAATCTTTCCTCTTTTCTAGTCATTACAACCAAAGACATTTATTACAGACCACTGTATTTGCAACACAGCGAGTTATTTCCAACAATAGATTGTCTCCCATGTTTGTTTTAATGCTATTAATAGCCAGATAGTAAATATGCAGATTATTTCATGTGGAGCAGAATGAGTGGGAGGTGTACAAAGCACACAGTGCAGTGTAGTTGATGTGCGTGGCTGCTTTTCTGAGTACAATTTATGACAGATGACCCACTTTCTTGGCTTTTGAGTTCTGAAAATTGTGTGATGAAGTTCATTCTGTTGTTTATTAGAAAACTTGTTAGTGAAGAGATTGGTGTAAAATAGGATTTACATCCCCTTCATGATGTTTTTTTCCCACTAATTAATAGCTTACATGAAAAGAGTTACAGCTTCCTGGCTTTTTTGCATGTGCTCACGTGTTTTTCAGCCCTTCTTTTGCCATGTACAATATCCTTACTTGCAGGAGGAAGCCTGGTAGTAAAATGTCAGCCCTGCTGGAAAAACTGCAGACCTACTTGCAGTGTATAAAACCAGGCGTATTTGAAGTGATTACAGACATACTTCAGAGTAGTACGCATATGTACGTTCAGGAGATATTAGCATAGGGATAATTTTTGCTCTACCACACTGAATATAAATTTTCAGTAGCTGTGCTAAATATAGCTACTTCTGATCAGTGCAGTTGAGAGCAGTATGTGCTTATACATATAGAACACCCATCGTACGTAATTTAACCTAAAGCCAAATGCATTAAATGAAGTGCTTGCTTAGGTTTACCCTATGTGTAAACCTCACCTCCAGATTTCATCTCAAAACTAGCAGTTTGATCAGTGTGAAACACTTGACGATGTTGTAGAAAGAATGATGGATTGGAATCTGCCATATCATCTTGCTTTTTGGTTGGATTGCTGTGTTGATTTAACTTTCCCCTTCTCCTCCCCTCTCTCTTTTGTGTAGTACAAACAAAATCCAGAAATGTTTAAACAGACAGCTCGACTTTGGGCACATGTGTATGCTGGAGCACCAGTTTCTAGTCCAGAATACACCAAAAAAATAGAAAACCTTTGTGCTATGGGCTTCGATAGGGTAAGTATATATAACTTTCATATTTTTAAGTAGGGGCAGGGCAATTACATGTGTTCAAATACAGGATGTCGTTAGTATACTGAAGTAGACTTGCTGTGTCCATGACCCTAATGTTAATTATTTTTAAGAATCAGAAGTTTGAAATACAACATTGTTAACAATCTCATGAGCTACACCTGCCTTTTTGGAACAGTTTTCTGTAAACTCTTAGGATTTAACAAATGGTAAACTAATGTGTTTTGATTAATCTGTGAACTTTTCATTCCACTTCTCAGAGCTGCAGGTTCACACACTGAAAATGTTACTGCCTTTTTTTCTTTCTCATTGCAGAATGCAGTAATAGTGGCCTTGTCTTCAAAATCATGGGATGTAGAGACTGCAACAGAATTACTCCTGAGTAACTGAGCCATGTAGAGAGAGCTGCTTCAGTAGTCCAGCTTGCCCCTTCTGGAGGAGCATCACCATCTGTTATTTTTAGGATTCTATATAGATTCTCTTTTAAAACTGGCACTCTTACCTGATGATGCTATCTAGGCACTATTGGAGACTGAAAAAAACGCTCTGTAAATAAAGCTAATTAAACGTCTGTGTAAATTTAAAAAGGGGAAATACTTTAATTTTTTTTCTTACTAAATATTATAAAAATTCTTTGAGCTCAGCTAAGATAATGGGAAAAAAAACATGCCTACTTTAGTGTTTAGCAGTGTGACGAAGACTAGCAGGAACTTGCTTCAGGATTTTGATTTAGTAATTCAGAAAGCAACATTTTTGAGTGTTAGTCATCAAAATTGTTGGTGCCACTCATCACAGCTATCTTACTGTTTTTAACATGGATCCTATGTGCCTGTGGATTGACCTATATTTGCATGCTTGTACTTAATAGACATATTAGGTAGGGTCGCTGAAGAGAGCACCATTGAAATACTCGATTGTTCTTGTAACTTCTTTTTCCTGAAAGACTTTGAAGACTTACCCAAAGTTCCAAATGGTGACCTATTCAGAACTGGTTTCTTTCTAGCTCATTAATTGGGAAACCTGATTCTCCTCTCCCTTACATCATACAGCTGAAAATCCTCACTAGATCATGTTTCATCATCTCTGGTTATTATGTGTGCCATTTACAGTAGTCTAGGCTCCCATTTAAAAATACATTTTGAATTATCAGTAATGATTTCCATCCATCATGTTTTCTACACGCTCATAAGGAGTATGCCTCAATATAGCACAAAAAGATGGAGCTGGTTTTCTTTCTTTTTTTTCTTTTTTTTTAATTTTTTTTCTTAAATAGATGTGAAATGTTCTTCAGCACATTCTGGATAATATGATTTCACTGGATCTGAAGGAGGAAAAATCTGGTTCTCTGGTGTACCGAGAATTAAAGAACATTTTCTTTGAGTACTTGATGTGATGCAATCAGCTGTTTTTTGCAGCAGTTTTCTAGCTTTATTTTGGGCTTCGATTTAAGGATTGCTTACCAGGTACTTTAAAATTCATCCTTGCTTGCGTTTTTCTCTACTTGACACATGGAGGCTGTGTTGGTGTTTTTCTGTACATACTTCAAATGCACATAGAAGTAGAAGTGTGTTCTCAGTTTAGCTTTCTTTTGGATTGATGTTTCTGATAAATGAGAACTGAAATCTTAACTTGGCTTGTACATACAGTCAGTCTTTTTATTCGTATTAAAATGACATTTCATCCTGAGTGCAAAAGCTTGAAAATTATTAGTTTTGCAACTTCAAACACTAGTACATCTATTTAAAGAGAGCTGTAATGTCTTTGTGAATATGATGCTAAGTTTTAAGAATATATCTGACAAGGAAGTTCAGATAAATCCCGAGACTAGAGAGTGGGGATTGTGGATGATGGAGTACTGTGTAAGTCATCTTTTCCACGCCTGGGTTTTTTTTTTTTCTCCTAAACTGTGGATTAATGGGGCGGGGAAATACATGTCTTGGGGTTTTCTGGAGCTATGAAGTACAAGCTGAAATAGTTTCATGCTTCATAGACACTCTGTTTATAAATCATGCTGGAGGAAATAGGAACATTATTGTATCCGTTAAATATGTAGAGCATAGTGGGAACAGAACCAGAAAATTAAGCTGTAGAGAGGTGGCTAGTTCAGGGATGTTCCCCGTACTGCTCTGTCTGATGTGTCCAAACCTAAAATATTTCAGGGCACAGACAGTAAATACTTTGAACTCCTATCAGTGCAATACTAAATGCATTCGCTTAGTCTTTATACCTACTGCTTTTTAAGGTGTAGTCAGTGATCAGTTTTCTTGAGTTAGTGTAAATCATTTGCAATGATGCCAAAGGAAGTGAGTTGTTTTTGTCTTTCCTTATATTTATTTATTTTTTTAACAAGAAGCTGCTACTGTTCAGCTGGTTTGGTAGGTGAAAACCAGGGACAGTAGGAAACTATGGCAGAATGCCACTTGTGTTAATCTCAAGTTGCTGTCTTTTCTGTTATACAGGCTAAGAACTTCTTGGTTACATCAACACCGTTGGTTTGGTTTTTTTTACCCTGGTGGTAATTGTAAATTGCTGACTACTTTCCCTTGTTTTTCACTGCTGTTTATCAAAAGAAAGAACTTTGAAATCATTGTTGGGGACATAAAACATATCAGTTCTGAACGTGTCTTTTGATAAGATTAGTCTCCTAAAGACAGCAGGTTTTTCCAACAGTATGTAAAGGGATAAAGGAAGCCAGGGGAAGGGGGAAATGAATGGTTCTTAGGTGAGCACGGTCATCTCTGAAATAATGCTGTTAGGTTTTACTTCTGTCATGAAGTTACCTCATTTTCTTCTCTACTGCAGAACACTCATCTTCTGTTTCCCCCTTATGTATAGATGTTGGCTACTGGGTTTTGCCCTCCAATCATGCACTTGGTAGCTAAGATACCTTAATGCTAGCTCAGGTGCTGGCAGGAGGGAAGCTTCTCCAGAAGTGAGCAGTGAAGGCAACACAACCCAACATTAAGGAGATGTCTGCAGTCTGAAGGCCCTCTGAATTTGACATGCGAGTCCTTTATAAGGAATGTTTTTGTATTCTTGGTAATTATCAGAGTTGAATATAGGGATAATGTTGTTCGAGGTTAGTTTAACTGCAGCTGGGGCTGAGCCCTGGGAATTTTGCTGTTAATGTTCAGTTTATCATTATTAGTTTGTACATACAAAATGGTAGTTCTGTAGGACTGAACTATATTCAGGGCCCTGTGCTCTCTCAGACATGGAGTTGCCACAGAACCCACTCCAGCTGTGGACTTGGGCTGCATGTTTACTGCTTGCTTACAAGAATGAAACACTTTGGGTGCAGTTGGTTTTGAAGTACAAATAAATCCTGCATTGTCTTCCTCTGTCATGTAAGAAGATGGCTTGAAACTTAATTTTGAAGTCTAAATGGTCCCATTTTTGTGAACAAGGTGTTGGCAATGGCACTGATTGCCAGACCATCAGTCGGATTTCACTGCTGAACATTCTAACGTGCATCCAGCATCGAGAAACTCTTATCTCATCCCGTTCCTCAGGGTGGAGTACAGCTTTGTTCCAAGGCAGAGAAATGCCCTTTCCTCTTGCCAAAAGCCTCATCTTCCTTTGAGTGCCAAAAGCCCTGACTGTATCCCACCCCCACCCACCGATTCACGGCTCCCTCCTGTCGCTGCTGCGAACAAGCTGTGTTCTCAGTGTGACAAACGGGTACATTTTGGAGACACAAACTTAGGAACATATCCTTCTGAAAGATGTGGCACGTGTGCTGTTCATTCTGCATATCCCAAACTGTAATTCTTGTTTTTCCTTCTAGTAATCTTGCACAGAGTACATGGGGCCTTGACTATAATTGGTTTGGTGTTATTTATCTGAGCAATTGGGTACTCATGGTGTAGCAATGTCTTGGGTTTTTTTAATTATCATTGTATTTAACTGTTTTCCAAGTGAATTAGTGTTGGAACACTGACAAGGAATAGAGGATCTTTTTTGTTGTCTGAAAGGAGGAGTTAAATAGCCAGATGCAAGCTTACCTTGTAACATCAAATCTGTGTTTTATGCGGTGGGTGACAGAAACATATTTAAACTATGCAAATTGAAGCTTAACAGCTGTGAATTGGACTAGGCACTGCGGAGCATACGGATTGCTTATTTAATTGGGAAAGGGAGATGGAGGGGGGGGATCAACATACAGTTTCCAGCAGGAGTTCTTGTTTATTGCATTGGTCCTGCACTGTGAAGGTGGAGCGTTCCATTTTCAGAGCAAAGGGAAAGCTCATGGTGTGCACATCCCTCGCTTCCTTCCTGAAGACCAACACAAGCCAGCTTGGCCTTGGAGGCTTGCCCAGAGGGGGAGATGTTAAATACTTTAGCAGTGAAAGGTAGTTTAACATTGCATTTGCAGGTGCAGTGAGAAGATGAGGTGTCAGCTCGTGCTGTATTGTGTTGATGAGGGGCACTTTGATGAGTGTGGCCGTTGGGTTGGGGTTGGGTTTCGGTGGCTTTGATGGGCAATCAGCCCAGCAACAGGTAGCGAAAGCGCATTCATCATGCGCTCTCTTGCATTGCAGAGCTGAAGTGAGGAAGTAAAGATGCGCATTGGGTGCCTAAAGCTTTTTCTGGGAAGACCATGCAGATGTTTTTGCTGTTCTGTCCTCGTTTTCCAGGCACAGCTTTCCCCCATGGCTAGACAAAGGGGCAGTCGCTTCTTTCTTGACAGTTTCCTGATCTATTCCAAACCCATCAGTAAGTCACGTAGCTTGCTCTTCCTGTTTGTGGTGTTAGTGTCATCAGCAGACTCATCACTAGACTTACAAGACCAACTGTCCTGCTGCTTGCTTGGGTGTTCCAGCTCCAGTGCTCTGTAGGTAGCAACTTGACTTCAGATTTGTTCTCACTGGGCAAACTCTTGCAAATCATTTGCACTGTACTGTGATGTGATGTTCCTTCTCTGCTGTTACCTGCTTTGTAGGCATCAAAATAGCTAGCTGGTCGCTTATGGTGCTGAGCCATCCATTGGTAATGTGAGTTAAGATAATGACTCGACAGACGAGGAAACGTACTGTGAAAATGCTGTACTTGTCCGTTTTACGGCAGCTGCTGGTGCTCTGTTGTGGTGTCTGAAGGAGGCTGCCATCGTACAAATGCTGATGTCAACTGCTGAAGCGCCCTGCTTTCACTTACCTCTTCCCTCCGCAACTCTGACTTTTCTAATTAAAAATATGAGATAAAGACCAATACAACCCATGGCAGGAGGTTGGTTCCCGAGGCTCAGACTTCCTGTACAGGAGGAGCTGGAATGCAGCATCAGTGGATTTTGTCTTGAAAATAAAAGCTACACAAACACTTTTGTACACAAATGATTTTTTCAATAAACACACATTTTAAAAGATGTTGATTTTCACTGGGAATGCTTAACAATAAATGCATGTTTCCCTGAAAACAGCTTTCATTTGGTTTCTGATAATTCCAATTGTTCTGAGGTTACAGGGTCTACTGCCTCCATGTCTGTGATGAGAGAGAAAGGGGTGATTGCTTTTGTGATGCATATGAAAAAGTTGTGGAGATGATGATGTAAATAAAAGGTGTGTAACAGTGTGCATTACTTCAACCGAC